TCTTTCTTTCTTTCTTTCTTTCTTTCTTTCTTTCTTTCTTTCTTTCTTTCTTTTCTTTCTTTTTAATGAAAAATGTTCCTGCTACAATTGGCACGTTTCTGCCAACTCAATGTTGGGGGATCCTGGATGCCACGAAAAATGGTCTGCAGATCACTTATGACTCACTGATAGCTTTTTTCTGCAACCATTGGTGAATTTGGGTAAAGCAAAAACAATAAATCCCATTATGAATTAATGCAACATTTAAGAATCACTTGTAGTCCGATTGCACTGCCTATTCTAGTAGATTATCTGGGTATCAGCTGGAGATTAATTTTTCTCCAAAGAGTATATCCATTATTGCACTGGCTGGGCACAAAATAATTCAAGTCATTCCACACAAAGGGAAATACTGGTTATTCTAGCAACTCCAGCAAAACATTACATGGGAAAGATTTCCAACCTCACTATTCCTAGTTATGGACCAAAAATTGGAACAGATATCCACAACCTCTATGGGAAGTAGTTGTTACTTGTTTTTTTTTTTTAAAAAAAATCTGTTTCAAGATGCTACATGTAATAGTAAATGAGAATGACCTTGGGGGTCAAGGGAAAGAGATGCTCGCTAGGAAACAATGGGACAAGAGAGTGGGAAGCCCCCAATGGCTTAACTGTCAGAGAAAAGAACTTAGAAAGGACCCACTTCCTAAGTTATCTCCTGATAACTAAGCATCCTAACAGTATTCCTGATATTGAAATATGTTCTTCTTTTCTGTTTTTTATGCACTCGCTGTTTCCCCAATTTATTGTTCCTATGGATAAGAACAGCAGTAAAGGGCTGTTGTTTTTTCCAAATCGAAAAGAGGGAAAAAAGAAAAGAAAACTATTGGCACTTTGCTCTTAATGGATTTCTAGCAAAACATCCCTAAATCTTCTCCCAGATACATTTTTCCTCCGATAAAAGGCTGTATTGGATAACTTGATAATTTTAACAATCTCAAATATTTTTTCTACTCAGAGGCAAGGTTATTCTGCAACTGTGATAGCCATTCTTAACACAAGGCTGAACCCTAATTTTTAATTTCACATGTTGGTCTCATCCCTCTGATAATTAAGATACTGCACTTCATTCTTCTCTGTTGGGAAAGCCCATCTAGCGAACATTTCCAATCAGCCAAAATTGACAGCAAGTATGAATCTGGAGATGTTGGCTGTATTCTGCTGAAGCACTCCTTTAGCCTTTAACTCCTCTTTAGTACAGAACAGTTTTTGTTTATAAATGCAGAACTCTCCAGCAGCTTCACATTTCTTCCTTACAAGGAATCTAAAAGTTCCTTGGATGTATTTCCCAACTGCAGTATTACTGCAGCAAATTACTGGAATACATTAAGAAAGTAATTCTCCAGACAAATTAGCTTAACAGCAAGCTATGTTAAAAATGTTGAATTTTAATTTAGATGTATGAAAGTAAAGTAAAAGAGAAAGGGAGAAATAAGGTGTCTGTTCATAAATCTTCATAGATTTATGTTTCCTTCTTTTCTTCTATGAGGAAATTTTATGTTAAGATCCCATAGCCATGTATGGTACACATAAAAATAGCTTTATAGAAACACACACACACATACACACACACACACAAGATACACTCTCATTACAAACAATTTGATCTTGCCTTTTGAGTGGCAATCTTTTTAGGCATGGCAAGACAAGCTTTCTTAACCTCTGCATTAAGGAACAGGAAAAGCAGATGAAATCTATTCTTTTTAAATCAGGATTTCTTAGCCTGATTTATTTATTTGGAAATGCAACTCTTGCACTTCAAATAAATGTGCTTAGACCTGCAATCTTATTTAGGTGATTTAAAGAAATGCATGGATTACTGAATTTCAACCATGGAAAGCTCTGTACTTGCCAATGCTTATCCTTGAACCATGAGATAGATAGCATAATAAGAGTTACAGAGCCTGTAAATATATAAAGACTCAAAATGAAGCCCTAAGAAAGTTTGGAGTCACTTGTTTGTGGGGTGGGTGGTCATAACAATATGATGAAATAAAATAAATAAATACATTATTAGATTTATGGTTTAAATTCATGGTTTAAAACCTTGGCATAGCATTGGTGATCTCAGCCAAGGAGAGATGTCATGTGAGATGCGATGGTAGTAAATAGGGCATTTTGAAATAAAAAAGAACAAGGGACAGAGGTAAAAGTGGGAGCAGCAACAAAACGTAGAATTCTCAATACAGGTTCTCTTTGTGATCTTCCTGGAATCTCTCTTTCCAATGAGGATTTTTTTGAGGAGGAGGGACAGCACTTTTAGAGTTTAAAAAAAAACATTTGAAAAACTTATCCCACCTTTATCGATTCTGCTTTGCTACCTATGATTAATTCCAAATTTATACACCCTGTAAAGCAGTCTATTACTTAAAACACAATTGCCAAGGGTATATGCATTGTACAGTTTGTATCATTACAATATCTGACCATGTGAATCCTCACTACATAGTTAAGAGTGAAACTGTACCAATCTACTATTGGCTTACAAAAGTGTAACTATTCAGGTTTTTCCACCAGTTTGAAGTGATTTCAGTTAATACATGTAAGAGTTAATTCAGGTAATACATGAAAGGCATGATGTCTCTGGTCAGAACTAGCTGTATCCCTGGCCTGTCCCCCTTCCCAAGAACAGAAGTGGTCTCCAGATATAAATGAAGGCCAACCAGTGGGTGAAGTCTTTAGCTCTCCCCACACTCCAAGCAGGGCTGCAAAGCCACAAAAGTTGGGGACCTCTGATATACAGAATATCTTTTTCTTGCAAGTGTAAAAGTAATTTATCTCTGTTTACCTGGGGCTCCCTCTCATGTTTGCTGGGATCTTTTTCATAGCTCTCCGCATAGATTCTAAGGGTGGCTCGCACATGGCTTGAAGCACTTAATCTAAAGATGAGTCTGGAAGCATCAGTGAATATAATCCTCAACCCCTGTAGAGCAAGTAAATATTGTAAAAGCATGGACACAGAATTCTTGAGAACAATAATTTGCTAATGTAAATGTTACTATACTGTAGCATTTAAGAATTGATTTGCAACAATAACTAATTTTATTATTCAACAGAAGAACATAATTTTCATACTTATTCTATATATCTGTATAATTGGAATTGTTTGACTTGTCTGCTAATTAAAATAGAAATGATTCGTGTTATGCTTACTGTTTGGGTCTTGGAGATATTTTCCATTAATAAAATTGTCACATTTATAATTGCAAAAGTTAAAAATAATGCACATTTCTATTTCCCTTCCCATGTTTGGAATCCAAGCAAATCTACTTGTTGCTGCTGGCAGTGAAGAATAAAGCAAAAGATTATGCAAATTCTCAATTATCTTCCTTAGTGTTGTCCTGGTTTTTACCAATTATTTCTCTTTCAATAATGTCATGTTATGTGGGGAAAAAAAATCTTCTGGACATACCTGCCTTTTGGTCACAGTGCCATCTACGGGATCCACATATTCAAAGTTAGTTGCTTTCTGCACAGTGTAAACATGGCTTCCAACAGCAAACTGCTGATTAGTGAAAGATTTGTCAGTGATCAAGGCTTCCAGGTCTCTCATTATGTAGTATGCCGTTCTAGGATCCAGTGCTTCATAATCAAATCTTACATTGCAAAAAAGAGAAGAAATATGTGAAAAGTTCATATGTATTATTTATTTATGAACTCTATTACGGCTGCATTTATATGACTTGGCAGCTGACAGTTAATATGGGATAGAAACAGAATAAAAACAAAACCTGTAATTAAACATGAAAACATAAGAAGTATCAACCAAGTTTTCCACAATAGCTGAGAAACAGCTCACCCACACTATCAAGTCTCCAATTTGATGGGGGGGGGGGTGGACTAGATGGCCTACAAGGTCCCTCCCAACTCTTGTTAAATCTGTTAAATTTTGTTGGCAAAGCTAAATTTTAGTATTTTGTGGACAGCCAGAGGTTTGGAGAAATCTTGGGGAGGTGGAAGGATGTTCTGAAGAGTGGGTGCCATGTCAGAAAATTAGAAATGTAATACAAACAAGTCAATTTTATATCTAGCCAAACACTTAGGTCTGAATCTGGTTCTGTGGGACACCTGCTGTAGTCCTTATCTACAGTGGTGGGTTTCAATTTATTTTACTACCAGTTGGTGCATGCTCATGCGATGTTTCTGCACCGGGTGGCCAGAGCCTCCCACCGCTGCCACTACTGGTTCATCCAATCCGGGGCAAACCGGCAGAAACCCATCTCTGCTTATCTAGCTGGGAACAGATGAATGAAAGTTTTGCTAGTTTGGAAAATAGTGGGAAATCCATAGCTATATATTATATTTATATTGCCAGCTGATGCATCCCACCGATTTTACCAGACCTATGGTTCCAGGTATGATGACATAAACCAGGGATGTCCAATCTTAGCAAGTTTAAGACTTGTGGACTTCATCTCCCAGAATTCCTCAGCCAGCCATATAATTATGGAAGTTGAAGTCCAGTTTTAAAGTTGCCAAAATTGGACACCTTGGTATAAATGACACAACTACAACTTTAATGTTATAATTATGGGACAATGTTTATCTATTTCATGATTTTCCTTTTATAATAAAATGCAAAAAAAAAGTTCAATGACATTAAATAATACATGGAAAAAACATCAACATTCTCAATATTTTTTTAGCTTTAGAATACCAATGTTGTCTGGGTTTGATTTTTTGGGAATATGCTGTTATTCATTTTTAAAATGTCTGAAAGTAAAACTCCATATGTGGGCTATAAATTAATAGCACACAAATTCCATCTGAATGCAGTTCACTTTACAATGATTACCACTTTTCCATGTTGCAGTAGAAACCAATATTGTAGTTTTTGCAAAAATTGAAATGATGGTTTGTGGTTCGACACACCCACACTCATAATTGTAATTACTTTCATCATTATTTCTAAAGGTATAAAATAGACGTTGTAAAAACTTGAATTAAAATAGCTATTATTCTGCTGATAACTCTTCACCTGCAATAATAGTGACGGCCAAATTTTGTCCAGTGATCTCTAACAATTTCCTCCACGCCCTGCTTTCGAGCTGCCATAATTGAGAGCCAAATTAAAACAGCCCAAAGTCCATCTTTCTCTCGGATGTGGTCAGATCCTATGGAAAAAAGAGTAAACATATTATATGATAAGAGATAATCTCATTTGGATTGGAAACAGAGATGCTGCTATTCAGTGAATTGCTTAACTTCCCAAATATGTGAGAATATTTTTACTATATTAAAAGTACAGTAGGATTTGGAAAATTTGAGTTTTTTCTTATGCAGCATACATAAAACAACAAACTCAACTTCTTCAGACTGGTCCCTTTCCTAATCCTTTATTACACTTATTGATTGCATTTTAAAAATTTCCATGCATTTTTTTACAAAAAAGAACAGTTTATCAATTAATTAGTATACAACCAGGTATATACCTCGTATGGTATGGAATCCCACAACATCCTCCCCAGGTGAGCTAACCACTTTATTTGCTGTTTTTGTATGTATTTGTATTTGTATGCATAATGTTCTTCCCAACCTCCAAAATGTTTCATATAGAATTTAGCAAGTTTTTATTGTTTGGGGTAAATGCCAATATATTGCTAATATAGAAACAAAATCTTTTTCTGTTGTATCAAAAAAATCTTCTAGACATCTTGTATTTGCTTTTGCTCAAAAAGTTCAGAATTAACAAAGGCTAATCTGATGTGGATATGGTGGCTCAGTGGCTAAGATGCTGAGAAAGATCGGCAGTTTGGCAGTTCGAATCCCTAGTACTGCGTAACGGAGTGAGCTCGCATTACTTGTCCCAGCTTCTGCCAACCTAGCAGTTCAAAACATGTAAAAAATGCACGTTGAAAAATGGGAACCATTTTTGGTGGGAAGTTAACAGTGTTCGACATTTAGTCATGCCCACATGAACATAGAGAGGTTTTGGACAGTGCTGGCTCTTCGCTTTTGAAACGGAGATGAGCACCGCCTCCTAGAGTTGGGAATGACTAGCACATATGTGTGAAGGGAACCTTTACCTTTACCTAAACTGATGTACAGAGATTTCATTAACATATGAGACCGGATAAGGGTGAAGGTAGATATTCGCCACTATTGCAAATATGAGACTTGAGTCTATGTTTAATACATTCAACAGAAATTTATTTGATAGTGTTTTTAGAGTTGTGAAATGGAGTAGGTGCTGTAGTTTAACAATGCAGGAAGTCCTCAACTTACAACAGTTCATTTAGTGGTCGTTCAAAGTTAAAATGGCTCTGAAAAAAGTGACATGACCCTTTTTCACAGTTACAACTTTGTAGCATCCCCATGATCAGATGATCAAAATTCAGAATCTTGACAACTGGTTCATATTTATGACCATTGCTGTGTCCCAAGGTCATGTAATCCCCTTTTGCGACCTTCTGACCAGCAAACCCATTGGGGAAGCACGATTCACTTAACAGCCGGGTTGCTAACTTATCAATTGCAATGATTCACTTCACAACTGTGGCAAGACAAGTTGTAGAATGGGGCAAAGTTCATTTAACAAATATCTAAATTAGCAATAGAAATTTTGGGCTCAATTGTGGTTGTAAGTCAAGGACTACCTGCATTCAGAAATGCTTTCAGACTATTAATCTTACCAGTGCCAAAACTTTCTTCTCCACAGAGAGAGCATCGACCAGAATCCATCAGATTTGAGAAGAACCTCCAACCTGCCGGTGTTTCATATACAGGTACTTTCATTGATTTTGCAACCCTAAAAAAAAAAAATACAACGTATTTTATTGATATACTATACCGTATATACTCGAGTATAAGCCGAGTTTTTCAGCCCACTTTTTGGGCTGAAAAAAGCCGCCTCGGCTTATNCTTTATTGACCATTCTAGATCACATGCAGTGGTCTGTCATGCAAAAATCCAGTTTAGTGCTAGACATGGATGTCACAAAACTAGATTCACTTTTCTGCTTAACCACTAGAGGGCCTCGATTGAATTCTGTTCTCAATCTAGACCAGTGTTTCTCAATCTTGGCAACTTTAGGATGTGTGGACTTCAACTCCCAGAATTCCCGAGTCAGAATTCTTGGAGTTGAAGTTCACACATCCTAAAGTTGCCAAGGTTGAGAAACATTGACATAAGCTATTCCTTCCAGTGGTTTTGACCATGCTCAGTTATAAACTTTTAGGGAAGAGCAGCATAATAATACTTCTAAAGCAGGTAATGTGTATATTTGTCCAAATTTCTGTGGGGTCACTTGAAATCATGTAAGAAACATGCACTGTCATGAATTGATCACTTATCTTGAGAACTCATAACAAGTCTTGGACATTATACATTCTGAATTCAAATCAGAGCCTTTAAGAATACAGAGCATCCCTCAGTTCTATAGGTATTTATGGCTCTACAATATTTTCCCCAAAAGTCAAGAACCCATTCTTTTTTTAAAATCAGCTGACAGTTTCAACTACATTCAGTACATGTTGAAGTGGTATGCAGTTGCCTGCTTATTTTCACTTTAAAATCCTCACAGTCATATTCTGGGCCATTCTGCAACAAGACAGAGACATTCACAATATATTTCTCTTAAAGTCAGGCCTTCAGACTGGCAAGCCTTGTTAAAGGGCTACAGATACAAAAGTCAGTTCTTATTCTGTTATGGTAACAGTGCCATAAACACTCACAATCGGCAAAGCAACAGCTCTATAAATATGACAGAGTGCGAACCTTGCTTAGATAACCAGAAAAATGTCCCACTTTGGAAGACACCATAGCCTCATTAGGAAGTAAACTTAGCAACACTTTTAGACAGAATACATGTATGCAATTTTTATTCACATACCAAGGGAATTAATGGAAGACTGGCACATAAACTATTCGGTATTAATCAAGTTCACTTTTCCCTGGAGGTGCCTCATAATATTGCCATTACAGAATACAAGTAGGGTAGTTCTTGACTTACGACCACAATTGAACCCAAAATCTATGTTACTAAATGAAACAGTTAAGGAGTTTTGCTCCATTTTACAACCTTTCTTGCCACAATTGTTAAGTGAATCACTGCAGTTTTTAAGTTAGTGACATGGTTGTTAAGTGAGTCTGCGATCCCCCATTAATTTTGCTTGTCAGAAAGGGACTCTGGGACACTGGCACACTGTAACGGTCATAAATACGAGTCAGTTGCCAAGCACATGAATTTTGATCATGGGACCATGAGGATGCTGCAACGGTCATACGTGTGAAAAATGGTCATAAGTCACTTTTTGAAGTGCTGTTGTAACCTTGAACAGTCACTAAATGAATTGCTATATGTTGAGGACGGCACCAGCATCCTGAGAGGAAAAATGTTGTTAAAAAGGAAGAGCTTACCCCACCCCCAATTCCTTACTTTTCATAAGAGCCTTAAGACCTGGCACTTGGGGACCCAATGGGGAAGCTTCTTATTGGAAGTGGTTGACTAATTAAAACAATCCTACATCTCCACGCTCCCCCCCCTCCCAACCCGGTGTGTCTGGCTCCCTCCTTTCCCATCTGGTGTTAATGCTTTTATTTTTAATTGTTTTATTTGTGTGTCTCTATGATTGTTGATTTTAATGGTTTTTTTAAAATTCTTTAAGCCATCTTTAAGCCACTAACTACAAGATGGCTGGCAAATAATAAATAAACAAGCAAACAAATAAATAAAAGAGCTGTGATGCTTGTAAGGAAAAATAAGCATCCAAAACTTTCTTCTCCCAATTTTCTCAGAACGTCGCTATCTCAAAGCTTTTTTTGTTCTTGAGGTAACAAAATGATTCAGAGGGTCAATTCCCCCCCCCCAAAGTAGAAAGAGAAGGCTCATTGTCAAGAGTTTTTTTTAAAGCCCAGGATTGTATAATTTGTAAACCAATATAGGATCCTTTTTAACACTGCCCTAACTAATGTGTGTTTCTTGTCTTGGCTGTCTTTTGCAGGCCTGATTTCTACCCACCCTCATACGATGACAGCACTGCTCTTGGAAAGCAGACTTTTTCATTGCCGGACTGCTCACTGGAGCCAAAGAGCTATGCTTACAACATACCTCCACCTTTGTACACAGAAAGCCGTTTTGAATTCATTGAAGAAACTGGTGATCAGGAACAGCAACCACCTTCCTATGAAGTCTCTGTGCAGCAACGACCCACAGGGAACGACCCAACATTTGGAGAGGCTTCTCATGCACCTCAACCATAGAGCAACTGCTAAGAAGATGGGCTGTCCAGGGACTGGAGGAGATAAGCCATATCTGTTCTTCTGGGACACAGACAATGTTTAGCCATAGTATATAAAGCCTCGGTGAGGAGGTGCGGAAAGGACAGTGCGGTTCCATCACTGGGCACTGGGCACAGATGAGGGTCTATTCAGTGGCTGGCAACCACTGGGCACTGGGCACAGATAAGAGAACATTCAGTGGCATTCAGAAAGGTTGTGTCAGAAATAACATGGTCTTTGTGACCAGGAATAAGCCATAGTGTTGCTGGTTTTAGGAATGATGATGAATTCAGCCCAACATTGTTGGTTGATGGATGGAAACAGCTGGGTCTTCTTGAAGATCATAACAGTAGTTGTATTTTGCCTCTATTTAGCAATGCTTGCAATAGCCCGAACTATCTTCTGAATAGCAGCAGGCATGGCAAGAGGCCATCAGTAAATGAAGAAATTTCAAGCTTCAACTTAGTGATGAAAATGGGAAATATAAATAAAGCAAAGCAAGGTCAGTTACATTAGCTTTCGTCAACTCAATGCGTTTCACGTGTGTTTGACTTCAACTTCCATACTCTGTCAGACGTGCACAATCTTTTGGGAACTGAAGTTCAACACATCAGAAGAGCACCAGACTGGAGAAGGTTATGTTACTGTAAATATCCTATTCTTGGCATTCATAAGGGAGATGAAAGGCACTTTCCAAAATTAAACTCCTAAGCTCTTTTAGTGTTCTGCAAGCTTTCCTCTGTAGCAAGAGTTGAACGGGTCCAGCTAAAATGACCAAAGACCAGGAGTTGATTTACCAGCTCCTATGCTACAGTTTGAGTTTTTAAAAAAACTCCTTTGATTCAAACTTTTACCATTTCATTGGAATTGGATTTAAACAACTTATCAGAGTTGTAGTTTGGCCTTGCTTTGTTTTTTTCCATGTTTGAATAATTGTGGTACTATTGTGCAGTATCTGGGATACAGGAAACTAAGTTACAATGGAGCCCTCAGTCACACCAACATATGAAGACAAAGCATACCCTGGATAAAATAAATTGTGTTCTTAATTCAATATTTATTCTTTCTAAAAAGAGTATTTGTATCAATATTGCAATTAATTATTTTTCATTATGTATTTAATCAACTTAACTTCCTCTCAATGTTGAGGGGATGGAGTCTCTTAGTACAATACAGATAGCCCATTGAAAAAATAGCCAACTCAATAGCCATATTTTTAAAAAATATATATATTGGAATTTTAGCATCAATTCTTTCTGTTATCCATTAGCATTACAGGTTGAAATCTAATGAATTACTTGATAGTTGACATTTCTTGGTTATAGCAACTTTCTTTTATTGTGTTCTGGGGCTAACCAGTTTACATTGTTTAATGCTGCATTGTAGTTTTCTTGTAATAAAGTTTTGTAATGAAATACATTTTGAGAAACAATTAGCAATTATTGGTGGGGAGAATAAATGTACGTTTCCATCACGCAAAACAAGGAAGGCTCTTGGTAACCTTTTCTTCTATCATATTTTTCAGAGTATAAGACACAACTTTTTTCCTCAAAAAGAGGCTGAAAATCTGGGTGCGTCTTATACACCGAATACATTTTTTTTGCCTCCTGAAGCTCCGCCTCTTCACCAAAATGGCCACGTATACCCTTAGGGAGGCTTTCAGAGAGCTCCTGGGGGCTGGGGAGGGCAGAAATGAGCAAAAAATGGGCCATTTTTTTGCCCCCCCAGCCCCCAGCAACACTCTATAAGCCTCTTTAAGGCTATGCATGAATTTTTTTTTGACACAACCCGCTTTTGTGAAAAACGGGCCGTTTTTTGTTCGTTTTTGAGCCTCCCACCGCCCAGGAGCACTCTGCAAGCCCCCCCCCAAGGCTATTTATGCCTTTAAAAAAAATGGGCCCCATTGCTCTTTTGTACTGTACAACAATCAAGTCTTGAGCTTGTTTTATGACAAGGTGAACCCACTATTCTGTACTGAATTCCAAAATGGGGACATTTCCCCCCCATTTCTGTAGGTCAGAAAACAAAATCCAAATTTTCATTTCATGGTAAATACAAAAGTATCTGCCTATCAAGATGTAAAAGAAAAACCTAATACCCTAGGACACTGTCTTATGTTTAAGGTAATCCACATGAGCAAAGCAATTTGGTGAATCAGTATTCAATATTAATTTAGCTCCTATTTTCACGGCAAGTTTAAGATGGTACAGTACTTTTTTTAATGAAGTGATTTATCACATGTGAAGGATAGTAATCAAATATTATTTCTGCAATAGTGAACTCACTTCCAATTGAAATTTTGTTCTGTGATCTAAACCAGCGGTTCTTAACCTTTTTGAAAGAATCGCCCCCTTGAGGCATTGAGGAAGTGATCATCGCCCCCCTCCCCCAACAAAACTGAATATATATATACACAAAAAGTTTACACGAAGAGCACAACAACAAAAATTGACATCATAAAACTGAGAAAATATAATATTGAACTGGAGTGCACACTAAAAAAGTACAAAACAAAGAAACACACAAAATGTTTTACAGAGCACAA